AGTCACAAATTTTTTGATTGATATCTTGCAAACGTTAGATTTAATATAATATCACGTGTCAACAGGATCCGATTGTTCTTAACCCATTTCCGTATTCGGAAATATAATGCCATCTAAGCATTCTTCCATCAAATATCAGGACGAATCAACCTATTGACGCATTGAAAGAAAGGAAGAAAGAAGACAAATTATTATAAAATATTATAAGTAATGTTTCATACTATTAATCATATTAAGCATTAAAAGAAATATTTTATACTAATAGACATATATCAAACATTGATAAAAAAGCCAAGGTTAAAGAGATAAATTTTTGTTTAAACTTTTCCTTATTTTTTAGAAAAAGTATATTAAAACAGAATATCATTCTGTTAAGTGATTCTCAGCTACAACATCTTATGGTATGTTAAAAATGAAAATATGTATACATTAAATATAAAAAGTAAAAATTGGTATCAAAGTTATTTAACACAGTGAATAAAATTTATCAGAAGAAAATCAATATTTTTCGGTGAAATTCTCAAGAATAGCATTCCTTTTATTTTTACGACTTGTGTCTGTACTGCACTAGTACTTGTATACTGCAAACGAAAATTGAAAATATAATTAAACGGAAGAGTTTAAAATATAATTTATAAGTGAACTTCTCAAAACTTAATTTAAATATTCATATAAAATAGTATTATTTCTTTGAATTATTATTTAACATTAATTAATATATACACACCACCTTATTTAAATAAATAGTACATATTTTTTTTGTAAGTTCATTTAATATCTGTTATTTATTATTAATTTATTACATATATTTGTGGTACGGTTGATAGCTGAATAATTGTCGTACAATAAATATTTATAATATTCGCAATGTACACATGTACATATTGTCCGTGCCAATGGCTATTCGAAATTCGTCCTTTTGCCAGTTTCAATATACATTGTCAATAAATCACATAATATTCGAAAACATACACAAATCTGTTATTAGTGTCCTTCGGGCTATACTCAACTCAACATCTAAACTGAATTCGTGTACAGAATTGTCGTGTACAGAATTATTACCTTCGCATATATATCTAGCATTATTTTTAAGTGAATATAACGATTAAAGTGTTTGATAATTGTCAATTACACGAGTATATAATGCCTGATATAACTAAAACCTTGTGTATATATGGTGGATTAGACACAGCAAATAATTATAATCAGTTTTTCAATCCGAATATCTGTCATGTTTGCAAGTGGCCGAATCAAGGCGAATTAATGCCATGTGGTTCATGCGACATGGTCTTTTATTGTTCCAAAGAGCATCAAATAATGCATCAAAGCTCGCATATGGAAGTCTGTCCATTTATTACATTTGCAAGAACAGAAGACTTGGAATTGAACGCTCGTTTTTTTAACTCAGATGATGAATGGAGGTCATCTCGAAAGACATTTATGCAAGGAATTCAGATAAAAATGACACGTGATCTAAAGCCGTACGAGAAAGAGATAATAATGTGTGCAAAATCATGTCTCATTTGTCACCAACAGATTAATCTGCGAACATGCAACATCTGTTATTCCGCCAATTATTGTGATGAGCACCAAAGGGATTTTAACAAAAAACACGAGTCAATGTGTACGGATTTATTGGTATTTCTGAATTTGAATCTTTTAAGTCAAAAATTAGATTTAAATTTGTATCCACCAGCTATGAAGTTTGCCAATATAACAATAGATTTTGATGATATGATTACATTTGTTAATCAACATATTAATAAAGTTTATGCAAAGATGGGAGTTTGGAACGTTAATTCTTACATATATTCGGATTATATGTCAGCACCATTGACACTATATTACGGGTTGAAGGAATTCGTAAATTTATTTAAAAAAGCACAGATTTATAGAGAAGAATATAAACTTATTAACCGCCTCAATGGTTTTATCTTTATCGTACATATCATAGGTGCGAGTTCAGTAGATATAACGGGCTTACCATCATGGGAGATCTTCTTACATATTTTCAATAAACATAAATTTTCGAAAAATAAAATTATGGAATTAAAAGTTATATTGGTAGCACCAGAAACGGATTGTGACAGGAATGAATACTACGATGTTTGCAGCCGATGCGTCAAAGCAAATAAGCAGCTATATTTTGGACATGTAGGTGTGTCATATGAGGATTATTTGCGTACAAATCTCTATAAGCAAGCAAATATCATTATTGCATTTCAAGCAGAATTTAGTATGGGGAGTCCACTGTTAGATATTTTCATCTCAACACAAGATCGTACATGTCCGTTTTTTTTCACTACTTCGTCACAAAATAAAGCAGAAGAGAGCATAAGGAAGATACAAGAAGTCATGAATGTTCCTAGAGAACAGCGTTCTGTAGAAAATAAATTTCGGAGTTGTAGACCATACAGAAATTACGAGACTGGTGAGATTTGTTATCGTAATGCTCATTTAGTTGTGTTCTTCTGAATTTATATAATACAAACGAGACAACAAGAAATTCAATAAATATATAACAACTTTCA